CATATCCAGCGCGTTGGGTCATTCAGACGAGGAAGCAAAATAAGACGGCGGCGGCGGTAATGGAAGAGGCGGTAGTCGCCGGAGAACGGCGCCGGCGACATTCATGCCGCCCAATGCGCAGGGAGTAGTACTCCCTTGCCCGGGAATGGTGGTACATGGGTTGGGCCCAGACGGCGGCACCGGCCCACGCTGCAGCGACTGTGAAACCAAATTCAGATTAATTGGCCTCGTCAGCTTCAACTTCTGAACAAACCAACATAATTAGATTTATGAGGAGGATTTTTTTTTGCCAAAACCTCATTTTTTTATCGTCTTCACAATTTCAAAAAAATCCCAAAACTTTCTCTCTCTAATTTGATGGTTTTGAGAATGGAAAATTTCAAGAGAGAGAGAGAGAGGGCATATATAAATATATTGGGTGTTTGGTGATTATGTGTTTAATTAATTTGAAATTAATTGTGTTTGATTTGGTACGATTGATTTGACTCAGACTTTTCATGGGCTTTGTTTCTGCGATGAATCCCGAGTTTGACGAAGCCTTTGTTTGAAGGTTGAAAAAGCTTACACGTTGGAATAATAACAAAGGGATGAAATTGAAAAAGACAACCAAAAAAAAAAAAACAAAATTAAACTGTGTTCAGATATTTTGAAAACTGGGTATTTTCCTACCAAACAAGCTCTCAAGTCTTAACTTAATGTCTAAATTAAAAGTTGAGAACATAGTTTTTAAAATGTAAAATTATATATATAAAAGTTATCAAAAAAATTGATTAATTAAAAATAAACCTAGGTGTTTAGTTGTAGTAGAATGAGTTATGGTTTGAGAAGGTGTTAACGAGTTGAATTGGTCATGGTCCCCAAGAAGCAAGCAAGAAAAACAAATGTATTCAATGTCCAAAGTCTTCAAAAAAAAAAAAAAATTCAAATTTTTTTTCTTTTTTTTTGGCTAAATATTCTCATTTCCTTGTGCATCAAGGAGTAGTTTGAAAAAAAAAAGCTATATTTTTACTCTTTCAAATATTGCTTTATTATTTTTCTTTGGGTGCATGATCACTCCAATATCAAATGCTCCGACAAATACGAGTGCATTATAAGAAATCTAAACATCAGTGTGGTGTTAAGCCCAACACACTTTATTGCCTAAATTATTAGATAAAAAATTGAGTTGTTCCACCTAATTTAGTCTGTTAGTTTAGTTTTGTTGGAGGTGCAAGTCTATATATTTAAAACATTTAATTAATTTAAGAAAATTAAATCCATTAAACTAGAATGAGTTCTATAAATTAAATTACATCAGCGAGTAGTTTTTAAATTTTAAGGATAATAAAATTTTTGAAAACAGGGCATATATGGGGAACATTATTTTTGGGTACGTAAATTGTTTTTACATTCGTTCTATGCCTTTTTTTTTTCTTTACAAGTCGTCCTACACTCTTAAATGTTAGAATGAAGATTTATTCTTTTACATAATGTTAGATTAGATTGATCAATTAATTAACAACACAATTATCAATGTCAAAAGAAATAATAATATTTATAGAGGAGATGTAGTGTTGGTGAAATTAAAGTTTAGTTATTCCACATTGATGTATAATATATGTAATAATCATTGGTGTATAGTTCGTATATATATCTTCAATTAAGATGTTGGAGATTTCAAATTCCACACTTTATTATTATGAACTAGAAAAATGTAACAATCCAAAATATAGCGCAAGTACTAATAAATTATAATGCATTGAATATTTATTTATTAACCGTGGGGGAATTACAAATAACAGATATAAATGGAATAAATATTGAGAAACAAACACGTAAGCAATCAGGTTGAAGTGCAGGTATCTTGCTCTTTTAAGGAAATTCAAGCCCTCTGCGGTGCTTTATCAACCACCGGTGAAGCAGACATTTCTCTGACATGTTCCCTCAAGGATACAACCCAACTCAAACGTTGTGTAGCTCAAACTACTCTGCAACTAGAGGTTGAGCTCAAAGCTCTACAATAAAAAAACATCCATCTTTTGACCAATTGCTCTTAAAAGAGCGAAGTAGAGAATAGAGAAAGTAGAGAAAGAGTATGAATTGTAGGTTGTGTTTTAACGGATAGGAAGAGAGAGATAAAACCTCTTGATCGTTAAACTCTTAAATTAAATACCAAAAGAAAACTTACCTTTAATTATTGATAAAAATTAAAATGTAACGACATTAATTTAAATAATTTTTTGAACTTTTGGTTTCCATGATCTTTTTTTGGTTGACATCAATATTTTTATTATATTGAACTTTTCATGCATATATTTTTCTTTTTATCATGACATTTTACTCTTCAATTTGAACGCACATAGTTGGTGCGGTGCTCACCAACCACACCATGACACACGCTATGCTACACCTTCACTAACCTTTCAAATTTTCCATTTCCATCATCTGAACATAGCTAGTGGTAAGCTTTCACCTTGTTCAACATTTATTGAAGTTATATCTCATGATCGATAAATTATTTTAGGAGATTGGAATAATGTAGCTGACCATTTTAAAGTGTTAGATCTCGAGAGAAACTTAAAATTACGGTTTTTTGGCCAAGCATTCAAAAATTTAGAAAGAAATCAACATGAATTTAGTTCAACAGTAATTAACACTTGTGTCTCTGATCAATAGAGGTCATGAGTTCAAATCCTCCACTCCTACTAGTAAAAAAAGAACTTAAAAAGAGACGATCACGTTAAACATTTTTAATACATTTTTAATCTTGGAATTGGTACTTTAAAGTTAGGTTGCATGAGTATTTTCCTCGACAAGTGGAAAGAAAATAGACTTATAAAGACAACTACAACTACACTTCTCAATTACTTTTAATCTTAAAGAAATAAAGAATTTAGAGGGATAAAGAAGTTTAGTTCAAACCTTACAACTCCATGTTAAATATATCTGCAAAAATTAAATTTATTATAATTATCCACTTAAGTTTTTGGATTCAATAAAACTTACCATATATAAAAAGTTGAACAAAATACACTAATTATCTTTTATTTACTCGTATAAAAACTATTATTGAGATGAGTACAATATTCGATGGGTTGCAACCAAATTGTTTTCTGATGCTCCCAAGCCAAAAAAAAAAAAAAATGAAACAAATAAGAACATTGTTACAATAAAAATAAAACAAGAATAAGTCACAAAAGAATGAATTTTCATCTCTGAAACTGCTGGAATGGATTGTTGCCATAATCAAGAGCTTTGTAGAGCGAGGGCGGGAGCGAGGACGGGAGGCGGAGGGTGGACGAGACGACGGCCGGCAAGATTAATATTCTGGAGGGTGCAGCGGCCGTTGCTTTGGCCGGGAATGGTGCTGCAGGGGTTGCGGCCAGAGGGCGGCACAGGGCCACGCTGCAGCACTTGAATCCATTGCTCTGCTTTCACAACCCTCCCTGCCTCCACACTTTGTAGAGAAGAAACTAAGAAAATGGTGAACAAAACCAACACAATATTGAACACTAACCAGCCCTTTTGAGAGACACCCATCTTTCAAATCTTATCAAACAAAATTGTAGCTTTTGTTTTTCTCGAAGTTGGTGAAGTTTTGTTTGCAGAGAAACGAGAATGAATGGATGAGATGATGAAGAAGTGATGGTTGGGATATATATATGTGCTGGGAGGGAGGGAGCGTATGATTTGACCAATATGACTTTTTTATGTATATATTTTTGAGTTTGACGGAGTAATTGTTTGAAGCTTTGAAAACAACTTTAGAATATTAGAATGAATCAAACAACACGTACCTGCGACCACAAAACTATCACAACATTGTTCAACTGCTAAATAAATTTGGGGAAAATGTAAAAATAACTTATTAATTCATTCAAATAATCAAAGTCCCTTCATAATTTCTAATGCTTTTTTTTCACTTTTTTTGTTTCTATTTTGGGAAAGCTGTGTGGCAAATGGAAATGGTCAAATACTTTACTTTTGGATTAAACCATTCTTTTTTGGTTAAGTAATTCCATTTAAAACAACTGTTTTAGTCTATATATACTTTCGAAGTGTTCGATTTGATCCTTGTTTTTAAAAAATGATTGTTTTTGTCCTTTCATATATTTTTTTTTTCATTTTTTCGATCACAATTTCAGTACATTACCATATTCAATTAATTATATGAAACAAACGAAGAAAGGCTTCTTTCATGTTTAGTATTTATGTTGAAAATTTTCAAATAGAGGCCCCTTTTTAAAGGTAAAAACAAAAAACAGATGTTGAATACACCGATTAAAATGGACAAATGTTGAAAGTGGGGAGACTAACACATAAATTTGAGTTGAAAGTACAATCACTAAAATAATATTACATTTATTATTATTATTAATTTTTTTAATCTTTAATGAACATTTAAACTAGAACATGATACAATTGTCCATTTTTTATCCTGTACTTGGGCGAGTGAGTCAATTTTTAACCTTGAACCATACAAGTATTTTTCTCCCCCAAACTTAATTACTATCAAAATATCCAAAATCTTTATCAAATAAATGTCTAAACCTAATTACAGAAAATACTCTAACAAAAATAAACTGATAAAAAAACGTTCAAACTTAGCAGTAAAGTGCCTAAATCCTACTGGTTTAAAGAACTCAATACAATTAAAAAAAACCCATACTTGCAAAAATAGTCTAATCCAACTATAAGGACATACCTAACAAGTCATAAATATTATTAAAATAAACTAAAACTTAACTAAATGATGCCAAGTGCACCACTTATTATTCAAGTAGTACTCGGTAAAAATTGAACTTTTTCCTCTATATATTAGGCTTGGCCATTGGGGGCCTCATTCTTAGGAAGGATATCCTTTCGAGAGTAATGTCGATCGATCGATCGTTCTTTAACGATGCAGAAGGCAAGGAAATTTTGATCATCAACTAAAAAGTTTAGGCATGAGTAAATGGGTTCTGAAAATCATTTTCCAGAGCAGAAAATCAAAGCATATATTGAAGAAAAAAAAACAAAGATATCTTAAGCTCTAAATATAGTTCAGTTGATGATCTGTGTTTTAACATGTATCAATACAATACAGAACATGGCACATTTAGACATTAAACATAACATACAGAGGAAGAATGTAACTTGGCTTTTACAAACTTCACTAATCACTAAGGAGCAATTTCCACATTTTTACTGCAACAGCTAAAGAAACTAGTCATACAACTACCTGAAAATCGACATGTTGAGGCTTGACTCTGTATACATAAAAGAGGTAGTATTTTACAAATTATATCATTTTGACAGGGCAGCCACCAGCTTCTCCTTCAATTCTTCGGCACCACCACCTTCAGTTCTAATGGAGAATGAGTGAATAACTTTGTCATTGTCGGTGGTCGAAACGTTAGATTCTTGAGCTTCAATATGGTGTTCCCGAAATGTTTTGATAACTCTAGAAACAGGGTGCACGTCGAGTGGACAACTCACCCTCACTACAGCATCATCTTCTCTTGCCTGAAAATCAACCTCTGCGTCTTTCTGCCTGCCATTGGCAATCTGTTTTTCAGTCTCCATAACCTTAATTTTCATTTGGAGATCAGTGATATAGGTAATAGCATCGCCGAGTAGAGAAGCCTTGTCCATCTTGGAGATATTGGGGACAACAGCCCTTAATGCATAGAATCGTTGGTTAAGCTTTTCGCGTCTCTGCCGCTCTGCTTCCACATGATTCAGTGGTTCCTCCCTCCCATTAGCAGGCTTTCTCCCTCTCTTCCTTGGTTTTCTGTCATCTCCTTGAGGGGAAGATTCATCCCTTGGAAACTCCAAAGTTGAAAGCCTTGTTTGAGCACTGAAACCCCCAACAATTTCTTGATTCACATGTGGAAACAGCTTTCCATCATTATCGTCACTCCGACACCCATTGGAAGAATTTCCGAAGATATGATTAGCACCTAAAACTTGCAGATCATAGCCTTCCGAAGAAAATTTTGGATCATCTTCCAACTTTGGTGAAAAATTAATACTAAGCGGTCGTGTTCCACCTAAACTTAGCTCATGACCAAAGATCCTTGGGAAGGCCTTTAACTGGGCAGTATTTGATCCGCCAAAGGCAGCTTTAACCAACTCCACAACACTCTGATCTTCTGGAATTGATTTAACAGACCCAAGCTCAACAACTCCTGACTTTACAGGTACAAAGACCAGTGTGTGGAAACCAGCCAATTTAGCTAAATACCCTCTCGATTGGTAATTACGTAAACAACTCGTTACATCCGAAGCCCATATAGACTTACCGGATTTGTAAGACTCCCCCAGACTGGTTGTTGAGTCACACATAAACTTGTAATACATTGAAGTTAGGTAGAGCATCTGGATATCCGACGCTTCCTCCCTCCTTGCCCCACATCCATCTTTATCAGACCCTCCAAAAGAGGAATGGAGCATTTGAAGCACCTGCCTCTTCAATTCCTCTTTCTTCTCTCCCTGACCATCCCCACCAGAACTTGAAATTCCAATCTTTTTTGGATCATGACAGTTTCCATCACCCCAAGTTAAAGCCAAACCTCCAGATTTCAAGCCAACCGCACGCCAAAAGATTGCATAGTTCCAACATGAACCATCCAAAAGTTGAGTGAGCCCTTGATTTAGGCTCAAATCCCCTCGGGGGAAATGCAACACCTCGGGCAAGATATTGGTAGATGCCAATGAAATCAAGAACTCACAAGCTTCACTACCAACAACCGATTCCAGCAAAGCCCTTTTTTCTTCGTTCACCCAAAACTTATCACCCATCTCTCAAAAATCAAACCAAGAGAACGAAGAAAAACCCAATCTCTAGTTGTGAAAAAATAACATTCCCGTTTCAAGCAGAGCTCTGATAGAAAGAGTACAAATAAACAGAAACTCACCCCTCCACAATTCAGCAGCTCATGGGAAATTCAATTCGAAAGGCTGGACGCTATTCAACACAAACAAATGAAACCACTTTCAGTGGCTTATCCAGCTATAATTCCCCAAATCAAATAAACCCCTCAACAGATCTTGGGAAGAACTCCAAGAAAAGAATCGACAGATCAATCCAAAAAGTGGAAGAAAAGAGTTAAAAACATTACCTGAAAGTAAAGAGGGAGAGGGATCTGTAATTGCGATGAAGGGCAATCGAGATTTGGCCCTAAACATCGGCAGAAAAACAAGGGCGAGGAAGAGAAGTGATTGGATTTCAGCTGTCTGATCTGGAATCTAGGTTTCTCACATCTCACTCTCTTTTTTTTTTTTTAATTTTCTTTTTTTTTGTTCGGCAGTTCTAATCTAAGTTACTATTATTTTTATTTATTATTTCCTTTTAATATCCTCCACCGAAAGACCAGTTAGCTTTTTCATGTGAGCGACATCAAAACATGTCAAAAATATTAATTAATAATTATTTTCCCGATTTGTTTCAAAAAAATAAAAAGTAAAATAATTATTTTCCCGACCCGTCCCCAACTTTAGGCTCTAGTTCGCGAATACCCCGTGACTCGTGAGCATTTCGGTTCGACCCGTTTCAGATCATATTGGGCCGGGCCGGGTCTTAACCCGCCAAAAAAAACGCATTCCGACGCTACAGACGTACATTTATATCTACCTTCGTAAATATGCTTTGCTCGCATTCAATTTTAAAATCAGCCACAAATTTTTATAATCTCACTTTCTTTTCTTCCTTTTTCTTTTCTTTTTGGTCAATTTACACAAATATCCTGAACTTTTTTGTTTTTTTAAGAAATACTACCATTCACTTTTTATAACGTTTCACAAAAAAAAAAAATCATAAACATGGGTTAGTACTATTATCAAAACATTAGCGTGATAGAATTTGAAATGACGTGGAATTTGCTTAGAGCCTTAATTAGTACTACAATAAATTTTTAATGAGATTGCTTGTGGTCCACCCTATAGTAAATTTTTAAAGTTGACAATTGTAGGTATGATATTATTTGTACAAGTACATTTTTTTTTATTGTCATTAATTATGTAGAAGAGGTAACAATTAGATTATATATCCAAAAATACTGGATCTTAAATTTAAATTAATAAATGTTTAAAAAAATAACCAGGAGATTACAAATCTACAATAGTGGATCTTAAATTTAAGTTTGAATATAGAGAGGGATAAATTAAGAATTTAAAAATAATCTTCAACGAGTAGTTTTTTTTAGAATATTTCTTTTAAGTAGCTTGGACGACCTAAATTTGTAAATTAGATAGATAGACATATGGGTAAATATTAAGATAGATATACTGCTACTATAGTACTATTTGGGATTGAAATGATTGATGTTTGTTTAAGATTTTATAATTTTGTCTTAAACTTGATGGCCCCTCAAATTTACAAAACGAAAATTTAAGAATTTCTAAATAAACTGAATATGTTAAATCTCTTAATTATAGCAAAGCATATTTTCTCATTCCATTCTCTCTTAATCTCTTTCTCCTTCATAGCCGCCACCATCAAGCTTTTCACTTCCTTCTTCTCCTCACTCCAAATCTCTCTCTTTCAAACCTATCCACAGGACCCAGATGGGCGACCCGAGTACTCACGAACTCTATCCCAATAGCCCAAATGTACAACGACCCTATGATTTTTTTTTTTCAAAGAGAAAGTATATGTTCGATATATATTTAGGTATATCGATATGTTGGGTATATGTTTTTTTTTTTTAATTAAAATTATGTATATTCATGTTAGGCTTCTAGCGAAGCATGAAAGAAAAAGAGAATCGCCATCGATTCAATTTTCTTACAAGGTCTGATAATTTCAAATGAGACCGTTTAATTTTATTAGAGAAAAATATCAGAATTTTTCGGTTTGAGGCAGGATGAGAGATTTTTAATATGGCTTATGGAATACAATTTATCTAAATACTGTAGTTTGAGGAACTATTAACAATTTAATGTCAAAGTCACCCAATTAGAAATTAAATAAAATTGATCTACGTAAATCAAATTGAGTTCGGGAGTCATTTTGTGTGTGGGGGAGGTATTAGCATCCTACCGCACCCGAATTTGTTTTTTATTATCCGATTTATTAAATTATTAAAGGTCCACAAAAATTTATTTATTTTATTTTTCAATGTCCCATATTTATTAATCCAAATTTTAAAAATAAAACATAAATAAAATATTATGGGTGACATAACGTGGAAAATTTATCTTTGAGAGAAATTTCACGTGTTTAAGGAATTTAACCAATTCCAAGAGTAGTTTTGAAAATTTCATTTTTAAATTGTTTAATGAAAATTTGCTTTTGATTATTAAAATTCATTTTAAAAGAGAAATTTCATGTATTTATGAAATTTATAGAAAGAACATAAACAAAACACTACTTTACTCCCGAACTAATTCTCAAATTTAATTTTTGTTGTTTGTTAAGAAATTAGTTTTTGGAATTTTGTAAAATTAATTTTTGGAAGGAATTTCATGTATTTATGGGATTTAACAAAAATCCATAAAGAGAACACTACTCAACCTCGAAAATTAAGTATTTATTTTCTCAAGTTTATTTTGAAATTATAGAGAAAAAATTATAGTTGATTAATTTTCTATTTTTTTTTATTTTGATATTTTATTTTTAGATACATGGAATTTCATGGATATAAGGAATATAAAAGTATATAGAGCAATAAATTGCATAACATCATGATTTTGATTCCTATAAAATAATAATTAACATGAAAATAAATTAGATCTTCCAGGTTATCTAATATAAAACATTCAAAATGAAACTAACAGTAAATACAAGTTCAATGGATACATATTACAAGATAGAAAAGATGCCAGTATCTCAAACACATTAACTAATATATGAAATTGAAATTGTTGTGTAAGTCAAATTACATCAAACTATATTCCACAAAATAAATAGTGCCAATTGCATTCCCTCCCATTCTAATTTAAAATAATAATAATTAAATAAAGAAAAAAAGAAAAGAAAGAGAATTTCAAACTTGTTATTAGAAAAAGACAACTAAAGGAAGGAAGAGATTTTCAGTAGAATACCTTCTGTATGTGTCAGGAAAAAAATTATACTCGGAGCAGTGATGAGAGAGATTTTGGAGAGAATCCCTTATGTATTACAATAAGTAGAAGATGAGGATATTTTGGGGAGAATTCCCTTGATTTTGATATTCCACCAGAAATTGACAAAAATATTCCCCTCTCCCTGTGTATTTTTCCCTATGGAGATACTTTGGATGTTGAGTTGAACCAAAAAATCAGTGGGGACTTAACAGTATACGAATTGGAGAGATAATAAAATAAAGAAATCTCTACGCATTTTTTTCTCTTTTTTCTCTTGTGTGTTTCTTCTTCCCATAAACAGAAAAAAGGTTCCTTCTGAATTTTCGAGGAAGAAATCAAGAATGAGGGAGAGTTAGAAATTGGTGGGGGAAGGAGGAGGATGTGACGGGGGAGAACATGAGGAAAGAGATTTGTGGGAGAGGAAGAAAAATTGTTGGGAAAGGGAGAATGTGAGAGAGAGGGAGATATTATTGGGAGAGAGGGAAAGTTAGGTAAAAATGGGAGAGTGGGAGAGATAGAAATGGAAGGCGGAAGAAAATTAGAAAATATGAAATAGAGGGAGAAATCAAAGGGAGATGTTTTATATTAATTTAATATTATTTTAATTTTTGTTATTTTTGTTATTTTTAATAACAAATAACAAACAACAAATACCAAATAAAAATTAAAATGACCGGACCAAATACGGATTCATGGAGTGCTTGGTTGCCTTCATTTTTCTTCTATAATTAATGTCCATTTCTAGTTGCTAACTCTTTTGGATCAATCAATGGTATATATAGCCATCTTATATTTGAATCTCTTTCTTTGACATTTTTAAGATAATATCTATATGGTGAGGTTTAATTTATTTTTATTATTTTTTTCTAGGTTTAAAATTTAATTATTATAATTACAATATCTAGATTAAAAATTTACATAATTTATTTATTGGCTTTAAATTGTAAGACATGTCCACATCACTCCATAAATATCTAAATTTAAACCATGTTTTACATTCATAAACATACGGTACAAACCATATCATTTAAATGGTAGAAAAATGGATTCTACTTTATTTATTTTGGTTTCAAACATTGATATATCCATATCATTTCAATCCGTTAGAACATGAAGTTGGAATAAGTTTGCATTAATGATAGATAGCTTTTATCCTTATTGTAACGTCCCAGATCCAGAATTCGGAATCCGGATTGGGCACCTAATTGCCTTTGTAGAAGAAATCTCTTCCAACTTTTTTTTCTTTTTACTAATAAACCAAACAGCCCTTACACTTATATAGTGAGAATACTCTCTCCTTTCATGGTCTTGATTTCAT